GTTGTTGTCGACTTACACTTACAGTGCTGTAGATGTGGACTATGTATACAGTTGTTTTGGACTTACAGTGCTGTAGATGTGGACCATGTATACAGTTGTTGTGGATTTACGGTGCTGTATATGTGGATTATGTATACAGTTGTTGTTGATTTACAGTGCTGTATATGTGGATTATGTATATTACCGTGCTGTAGATGTGGTCCATGTATACAGTATTTGTGGATTTACGGTGCTGTATATGTGGACGATGTATATTACAGTGAGATGTGGACCATGTATACTTTTGTTGTGGAATTACAGTGCTGTAGATGTAGACTTTGTATATTACAGTGCTCTAGATGTGGACTATGCATACAGTTGTTGTGGAATTACAGTGCTTTAGATGTGGACTATGCATACAGTTGTTGTGGATTTACAGTGCTGTAGATGTGAACTATGAATATTACAATGCTGTAGATGTGGATTATCTATACAGTTGTTGTGGATTTACAGTGCTGTAGATGTGGATTATGTAAACAAATGTTTTGGGCTTATAGTACTGTAGATGTGGACTATGTATATTACAGTGCTGTAGATGTGGACTTTGTATATTACAGTGCTGTATATGTGGACTATGTATACAGTCGTGGACTTACAGTGCTGTAGATGTGGATTATGTATACAGTTGTTGTGGACTTATAGTGCTGTAGATGTGGAGTATGTATATAGTTGTTGTGGATTTACAGTGCTGTATATATGGATTATGTATACAGTTGTTTTGGGCTTACAGTGCTGTAGATGTGGACTATGTATATTACAGTGCTGTAGATGTGGACCATGTATATTACAGTGCTGTAGATGTGGACTATGTATACAGTTGTTGTGGACTTATAGTGCTGTAGATGTGGATTATGTAAACAGTTGTTGTGGATTTACAGTGCTGTAGATGTGGATTATGTATACAGTTGTTTTGGACTTACAGTGCTGTATATGTGGACGATGTATACAGTTGTTTTGGACTTACAGTGCTGTAGATGTGGACTATGTATATTACAGTGCTGTAGATGTGGACCATGTATATTACAGTGCTGTAGATGTGGACTATGTATACAGTTGTTGTGGACTTATAGTGCTGTAGATGTGGATTATGTAAACAGTTGTTGTGGATTTACAGTGCTGTAGATGTGGATTATGTATACAGTTGTTTTGGACTTACAGTGCTGTATATGTGGACGATGTATACAGTTGTTTTGGACTTACAGTGCTGTAGATGTGGACTATGTATGTTACAGTGCTGTAGATGTGGACTATGTATACAGTTGTTGTTGACTTACAGTGCTGTAAATGTGGATTATGTATACAGTTGTTGTTGATTTACATTGCTGTAGATGTGGAACATGTATACAGTTGTTCTGGGCTTACAGTGCTGTAGATGTTGATTATGTATACAGTTGTTTTGGGCTTACAGTGCTGTAGCTGTGGACTATGTATACAGTTGTTGTGGACTTACATTGCTGTAGATGTGGACTATGTATACAGTTGTTTTGGACTTACAGTGCTGTAGATGTGGACTATGTATACAGTTGTTGTGGACTTACAGTGCTGTAGATGTTGATTATTATACAGTTGTTATGGATTTACAGTGCTGTATATGTTGATTATGTATACAGTTGTTTTGGGCTTACAGTGCTGTTGATGTGGACTATGTATACAGTTGTTGTGGACTCACAGTGCTGTAGATGTGTACTATGTATACAGTTGTTGTGGACTGACAGTGCTGTAGATGTGGACTATGTATATAACAGTGCTGTAGCTATGTATACAGTTGTTTTGGACTTACAGTGCTGTAGATGTGTATACAGTTGTGGACTTACAGTGCTGTAGATGTGGATTATGTATAAAGTTGTTGTGGACTTATAGTGCTGTAGATGTGTATTATGTATACAGTTGTTGTGGATTTACAGTGCTGTATATGTGGATTATATATACAGTTGTTTTGGGCTTACAGTGCTGTAGATGTGGACTATGTATATTACAGTGCTGTAGTTGTGGACTATGTATACAGTTGTTGTGGACTTATAGTGCTGTGGATGTTGATTATGTATACAGTTGTTTTGGACTTACAGTGCCTTATATGTGGAAGTTGTATACAGTTGTTTTCGACTTACAGTGCTGTAGATGTGGACTATGTATATTACAGTGCTGTAGATGTGGATTATGTATACAGTTGTTGTGGACTTACAGGGGTGTCTCCGTATCTATGTGTCAGTTTACCAAAGTAGGTGATTAATGACCAGGAGTGAGATATATTCCTAGGTAATGTCATCTGTGGACATGATAATTACCTACTCCACGGCCACACAGGTATGTGGTCATTTCACTGGTCTATAGTGGTCAGCCAGGGGATATTGATTTAGGTAGTCCGGTATATCAACTCTTAAGCACTGACCAGGCCTAACAGATTGGAGTATTGATAGCTTATATTTACTATATAAACCAGCAGTGCTGAATTTACATTTATAATGGTCTGCAAACTCTTCTCAAAAGTTTATTTTCTCTGACACACTGTTGGATAATTTGCAGATTAAAATATTTTCAGTATTAAGAAGCATATTAAAGATTCCCATGCACTGTTAAAGTTGTCCTTCTACAACACCCAGTAGATACAAGCGTATACCTGACTGTATGCCTCAGTAGATACTGACCCAGAGGACAACTACTGATACTGTTGATAGCTGTACATAGTTTCAATGGTCAACTATATTGATGTGCTGGTCACTCTGTCAAGTCCAGTTTCTAGCTAAAGGCTGTTTGTGTTTTATGACATATCCATTTCATAACTTCAAAGCAATCAAATATATGGATGTAAATATTTAATGCAGTGCATTAACACATGCATTCATTTTCTAGATCAGTGGAGGTCAGACTTTATGCTACAACACCGAATGGGGTTGCATTTAAATTGTTTTTCTGTATATCCAACTGGCTTTTAAAATTAAAAAAATAACATTGTTATGTTATCATTTAAGCAGGCCTACTATCTTGATGGTACTTACATATGTTATGTTCTTGATAAGGACGATACTCTACGTCAAGTGATTTTGACCATTTGTGTTGTGATTGTAGGATCGTCTGTGCATGTATAGTAACTAATTATAACATATGATTTACTTGAAACAATCTTTCCTCTGTGAATTCTGACACCACCATAGTATCTACCTGAAACCATTAGGCTTTACCTGGTAGATCCTTCTTTGCTTGAAATAATTGCTCGGCATCCATAATATATATCCTTTGATGTAAAGACTTACATTTACTATTCAAGAAACATACATATTCCTGTTTAGGCTGTTTACTTTTCATTTAAATGTCACCGATTTGTTAAAATGTCACATGCCAGGATAGTCATAACTGCCTCCCTAGTTTAGAGTTTGGACTGATAGAACACTAAACAAGGGAAACTAATGTGGATTTCATGTCTGAAGGGCACTTTTCACTTTAAGGACGCAAAAACTAATGTTATGTCAGATGTGAGAATGTGGCTATATAATTGCTATGATAAAACTGGGTTCAATTTTTATAGCTATGGTGATAAATAAATCTCACTGTAATTTATTATAAAGCTTTTTTAACTTAGGGCATTATCTTTGTTTTGTGTGTGTGTTTTGTTAATTTCTGCTTTCCGAATAAAAACACCTGTTCAAAACGTAATTTGAAACATATATTGTGTTCAGATAATGGCATTAGTAATATTTTATCCTCCTTATAGTGACATCCCTGGTACTGGATTCAACTTGTGTCTGTTCATGGAAAAAAATATCTAGCCATAACTCGATCTTCTTTATTTCCAGACTCGATCGACATTCCAATGAAACTTTATCACCTGACCAATTTGACACGAAGGTCTGCCATTCCAGTATACACTGTTATTGAATACATTCAATGTTCTTGGCCATATATCCTACCTTAAGTCAATTGATTGCACTAAAGCACAGACTTTGTATGTGGGTTGACTTAGAGAACAGAAAACCAAATTGGTTCTAGGTATGGTACATCAAAAGTCAAGGTCACGCCATGAGAATACAATTAAATCAGTCCAATCTTCATTTAAGAGAAAAGGATTCCACAAAGGTCCGTATAGTTTGGCCTAAAGGAGAGAAAGAATCCTAACTATTCTGGCTTTGGTTTATCAACTGGCATTGGGTAAAAAAATAATAACACTTTTAAATGGCATATTTTGAGCTGTCCTTTGAGATGAAATCATCAGATCTTAGAAAATAGGAATATAAGTGAAGCAATGTCATCGTTGAAAATGCTCAAATTTTAGAGTCCATCCAATATAGGCAGAGTTGAAAAATATGCAGATATCTATCATCTTGATAAATCTACACATAATTTTGATTGGTTTATTAGTTTGGTATTGATTGAGGGTCAACAGGAGGATTATAGTACATGAGTAAAAATGGTGATGCTGGTAGGCTGAAGCTTAATTATATATATAATTAGCTAACAGGATTGGTTACCTGTCTGTGTTACCTGTCCCTGACGAGTAGGCATGGCACCTTTGCAGGTAAGATATAGCTGTCAGTGTCATGAATCACTCCACCTACCTGTTCTCAGATATATACTACACTGCCCCAGGGGGACCTCAGGTATTTATGGGGCTCCAAAGGGGGTATCAGAAATTATGTGCATTGCAATTTCTACATTGTTTCATTTTAAATAAATGGTGTGTTTAAATAAAGCCATTTGTGTGTATTTATGCAATAATTTAGCATGCAAACAAACTATTTGTCACCTATATTTATGTGCTTATATTTAAATTAATGCAAGTGGATTTTAGTCAGGTCAACTTTTGGACCCCTGTGGGCACTTGTTTCATTATTATGGACAGACAATAGATAGGCCTATAGAGAAAGATATTTATACAAACTAGAAAAAACACATTGTTTGATATGCAGGACCGAGGATGGACATATGTTGGTGTGGTGTACAGGGCTTATTCTGATCTAATAGGGGCGTAAAGGGGATAGCAGATTTACTGAGGTTATTGTAGGCTGGTTATCACCTCATTGGGAACCAGAAAACAGCTAATCTGGAGTACCTGGTATCTGAGGGATTAATTACCTGACAGGAAGGGTGTATGTACCTCGTTGGACCAAAGTGTTTACATAGCAAGCTCATTACAGGTCAGCTGGTTTGTCTCACAGCGGAGGGCACCAAACATTTTATCACAAAACAGGGACGCATTCCTGTCATACATGGTGTTGCATTGCTCTCTAAGGAAAGTGAAAGTGCCTGATATTTTATGCTGAGATCACATGAGCTGGAAGTGGATATATGCCCCAGACATTCAATAACTTGTAATATATGTGCATTTCTGTATGCACCACTGCTGATTGTTGTTGTAACACAAATGTATCATGCATGCAGGTGTTCAAAAGTTTATCAGATCTGTGATATTGTTTGTGGGAAACCATTTCACGTTGGCATATTGCAATGAAGGACCCCATGAAGCAAATTGGAAAAGCTAGTTTGGATTGATTTAAGTCATTGATTTTTGGAGCAGCATGCATACATAAGATTTATTACCTGTATGTTTTACTTATCTGCGACAGAATCTAACTTTTTACCTGGGAAATACTTTTGATGTTCACATACCTGTAAACGGCTATATTGGTAGTCAGTGTGTACAGGTAAACATTGTCCTGTATAAACGATTTACGGTATGACAGGAACTGGCTTCTCTGTATGAGGAGGAATTGATGACACTGAGTTTTAACTGCTGCCAAAGTGTACATGGGATTTATTACCATCTGGTGCAGAAAATTTAAATATTTAAGGTCATCCTTCACGTGTGGAGCCTTAGTATCAATTACTAGGGTGCATGCTCTCTGAACTGTGAAATTGAACTTAATCAACTGTGGACCTTGTGTCTGGATATTTTTGAAATACTTCCTGTACTGGAGATGAAGGTTGGAATACTTTGAACTTTTACGTTTCTAATTTGTGAATGGTCATCAGTCGATCTACAAGGCATTGACACTGCACATTGTTGGGTTTAACAGACTGAGAATAGTAAATGTGTGGGAGCTACAGAGAATGTTGGCAGTACTATAGTTAAGAAGTGTACACATGTGTACAGGTAAATTATTAATTACCATATTTACCTGTGACGGAAGTTAACACACATTTTGTCAACTAGAGTTTTACAGTACTTGTTTGGTCTTCTACAAATTGACCTGACGAAGACCTAACATATAGGGACACAGACAGGAGCCTTTAGAGCCTATAGACCATTGACCATTGACCATTTACCACTAACAACTGTCCGGTGACCATTGTAGTAGTGTCGCTCTACCTGGGGATTTTAAATTTGAAAAGGATTGTAGCTCTCCTGTGTAGTAAGGTAGACTTTATAATTTAGGAGACAAACCTTTTTTATGTGACTCGTTCAACATCGAAATGTCCAAGAGATGAGTCAACAAGAAGTGAGCGTACCTGGAATATCACCTGGCTAGGTTTTGGTCGTATTTAAAAAAAATAGTCTTTGGATCAGGCCGTGGATTTTGTTTGCAGCAGTGTTGTACAGATGTTTGGTCTGTACTTGTGATTTTCAATAGAGATTTCAAATTGAAGGTGTGACTAATCCGCACATTACCTGTGGAAATAACAGTTATTGTACTATAGCTGTACAGTATCATACAACCTCGTTATGGACATTATGTAATGGTTTAAATAGCGACAGCCTATGTATGGTATTTACCTGGATGACTTGGTATTAACCAATCAATTATACAAACACACAACGTGTTTTGCCAACATTTGTACCATACTGTATGATACTTTTTTAAAACAGTGTGTATCTTGATTGGTTGGCGTATTCCCAGAAAATGATCACCACATAAACATTCCATTTCTGGACTTCCTGTGACAAATATTATGGTGATAGAACTATTTTGTGAAAATTCCTGTGATTCTGTGGATGTTTGTAATATGAAAGAACAACAGTGAAAGAAGATTACTATCGGTTTGCTTCACAGGACAGTTAATTAATATTCTAAGTTGTGGATCAAACCAGTGTTTCCAATGTTAGAACTAGTGATCTACATTTTCATTATACCCATTGGATTATGCCTTGGGCAAGGTTAGTATGTGGAGTTTGATGTATTTATCNCAGTCCACCACCTCCCCTTCCAGCCTGATATAATTACCTTCCCCCTCCCCTGATCAGGCTTCAGAACCAGATTTAATTACCGTACCTGTCTCTCTCCCCCCAGTTTGATATGATCACTTGTTCCCCCTTTTCCCCACATCCCATCCTGTGAGTGCATGAGCCTGATATAGTTACCTCCCTCCCCGTTTCAGTCCCCCCTATCAGCAAATATAATAACTTGTTCCCAGCCTGATATAATTACCTGCCCTTTCCCCCAGTCTCCCCTTCAAGTGCCAAGCCCTGATATAGTGATATAGTATAAAGTTATATTATACTTTATCTGAAGTGTATATATTTGAAGTGTTTCATTGATAAAAAATATCACTTTAATATTTTAATATATCTATATAAAAAGTTGAATACTATAACATGGTAGTGTAAACAATATGTCACTCATAACTTTAGGTAACATTTACCAATTATATGCATACATCACTTAATATAAAATATTAAGATGATTCATTAAAGCTGAATGTTGTCACATGGTCTACAAAATTCTATAGAACCTATCCTGTTTCCAGTAACTTACTGGAGTTTAGAATTTAATCATTAGGTAATGATAAAACCACTGGTCGAGTACATAGCTAATATACCTAACTGATGGGGCTATATACATTGTTAACAGAAACATCTGTGTTAGAAACGCCTGCACCAATAGCAGTCATTGTCCACCTTATTGATTTTGCTGACGAAGACACAGATAAATGTGGTTGAGTCCCACAGTTGTTTTTAGTTTAGAACTCATAACTATATTTAATGTTATAAGGACACCTGCCCTAATAAGGTCATCCCTTGTAATATTCAGAATATAACTCTGGTATTAACAAAAACAAAGCTGTCATGGAACAATTGATACAGTAAATAATACCAGAATGGTATACAGTCATATTGATAGAGAATTCATCCTGGGATTCAGATAAAAAATACCCTCATGTCTCTGCTGTGGTGGAAAGGTAGTCGAAATAAGACATTCGTTCAGGATCACACTCAGAAGTGTGTCTATAGAAAAAGGCTACCCAATTCATTTACCTTGGCCCGGCCAAATATGGTTTCTGACTAAAATATCACTGATTGTATACAGGGCCTCTGCTTTAAAAAATAGAAAAAATGGTTTAATAGAGAATGATGCTGGGATGGAAAGAGATATGCTCAAACTAGGAAAAACTATGTCCAGGGCAGGAAAATGAGACGGGGCACATACAAAGTCTTATTATAATTAGAATCTAAGACACAGATTGATTGATGTTATTTCTTAGCAAATAACTTCAATTTGTTATTTTGCTAAATAATTTTGATAATTATATATAATAATACCAAGAAAAAAATAAGATCCAAAATGATACATATGTGTTAATCTGTTTTCGTTTTGTAGTTTTTAATTTTAATAGAAAAATAATGCTTTTAAGATATCTGCAGTGCTGTCTCTTTGGCAAGTTAATTATATTTCCCACAAGAGCATAAAAGGAACCATACTGTTCATCTACTGTATAGCCCTCCAATATTGTGAGAGTTTGTTTGCCTCATCCACACCACTAGTATATATGTACAGAGGTAAAGGAGCTCACTCCCGCTCCCAGTCAACAGCTGTCATTGAGGCCTGTATCATTATCTTTAGTTCCCAGGGCTGAAAACTAATACATCACTTGTTCAATCAAAGTTCTGCCATCTACTGAATAATTATTCAGATGTGAAACTGATGGTGTGTGATCATGAATATTGGATAGCATGGGGTGGGGAAGGGGAGGAGATGGGGTGGGGTTATGGGAAGGGGTGGAGATGGTGTGTGGTTATGGGTGGAGATGGTGTGTGGTTATGGGAAGGGGTGGAGATGGTGTGTGGTTATGGGAAGGGGTGGAGATGGTGTGTGATAATGAATATTGGATTGCAGGGGGTGGGGGAGGGGTGGAGATGGTGTGGGGTTATGAATACTGGATAGCAGGGGGTGGAGATGGTGTGTGATAATGAATATTGGATTGCAGGGGGGGGGGGAGGGGTGGAGATGGTGTGGGGTCAAAAACCGTCATGAATATTAGATATCATGGGATGTGTGAGGAGGTGGGGATGGTGTGAATATAAGATATCATGGAATGTGTGAGGGGGTGGGGATGGTGTGAATATAAGATATCATGGGATGTGTGAGGGGGTGGGGATGGTGTAAATATAAGATAAAGGGGTATTTAGAGAACAGTTGAGGGTGTTGAAATGGGGGAGGGGGTCATGAATATATGTGTAAGGATTTGGGGGAGGGGGTGGAGATAGTATAGTATGGAGTTTTGAATATAAGAATAGAGGAAAGGGGTTGGGGGCTAGGGTGGAGATGGTTTGGGATCATGAATATATAAGATAAGGTGATATAGGACCGATGTGGGATTGGGGCTGAGATATTTTGGGGTCATGAATATTACATATGTGCTGTGGGATTAACATTTTTAGCAGTGAGAATGTAGAGATGGTGTGTGATTGCGTGGAGCATATTTACTTTAATCAGAACTCAGGTATGGTTCCTCTACATCTTGCTCATTTCTGACAGGCTCAGAATAAAAGAAATATGGCAGGCAAAAGTTAAGTGTGTGAGGGAAACACAATAATTTATTTCCCCTTCTTGTGATTAATATAATCCAATCAGACATGCAGCTAAATAAATGGTGGAGGTATAATAAATGGTGGAGGTATGATAAAAGGAAGTGGTGGGAGGATTTAAACAATCTTTGATAATATATCAGGTTTTACTTGATATGTTTAAAGTAGGATGGGTGGTAAGTTAAGATAGGAGGGAATGTATGTGTATGACCTTAGCTTACATTTCACCTTGAGTATGTAAGGTGATACTAGAAGGTTAACTCGATCTATAGGGGTACATCAAACTGGAAGTTCTTACTGTCTACAGTAATATCCTCTATATAACTCTAATGGAAATGTTTGTGTGGGAAGCTAATTGATTATATGGTTTCTGTAGAAATATGTCATCCATCTTATATCTATATAAAGACCTGGGGCCTGACCTGGGGCCTGACATTAACACAGTAATCAGTTAGGGTAGGAACCAATGTATCAATAATGGATGTTTTTATTTACACCTGGTTTGGTTATTGCTATATAACAGCCTGCAGTATCATTTATTTACAATTGTAAGTATTATACAGATGTCCAGGTGGGTCAGCAGTCTCCGACCTGAGTAATTGGAATGGGATTGGGGAGGTTTTATATACCATAAATTATCTTAATATTCAGTGTGTTTGAAACAGATTATTCTCATACACTTAGGTTACCTGTCCCAAACGAGGACAAATTTACAAGTGGTTGACTTAACCTGTATATATTATTCATATTGCCTGGTATATTTTACCACTCATACCACTAAAACAATATGTTTTACTTCATATCCTGGCAAGGTTTTCTCTTGATAATGTGATTTTCTTTTCAATAATAAAAAACAAAACTTCAGCATGCATGATTCATCCATCTTTGTAGTTCAAAAACAAAGGATTTCAAAATCGCACAAAAGTAATGGGTGTACATTACATAAGGGCAATGTGTTTCCCCTTGATAATGATATGTTAAGTTATGTTGTTATGTCTTTGTTTATAGATATTGAGGAACAGTGTGAGTTACAGACAAACAAACAGACAACATCTGTATGAGCACATGTACATTATGTAGATGAGATGGGTGTGGCGAGTTTATCTGTCTACAATGACTGCCCCTATCAAAACTAAAAATTGACATGGATTATAATTACTATCGCATCTCAATTCCTGACCAGATATGTTGGCCTGTGAATATTCATATTTAACATAAGTTTATACAGAGTAATGCTAAAAACATTGACAGTTATAAATTGTGATTTAGAGTATATGATTCGCTGCTAGTTCATTGTCAAACCCTGACTAATCGGATACTTCAGTGTCATTTTATTGTAAATTTTTATTAAACTCGACATGTTCACCTTATTGCCAAAAAGAATTGTATGATGATTTTATCAATTACTGAATTTAATTATCATACGAATGTATTGTAAATGGAACCTAGAAGCAGTATATTCATTATAAAGATGTGGAAATATTTTCACAGTTGAAATAAAAATTATGGAAATGACGAATCAACTGTTTTTTCCAAATCTACATGAATTGAAAATGAAGACAGCCTGATTTAGAGCCGTGCAATGTCTTATGATTCTAGCTGGATATCAACATTATTGATAATGAGATGGGTTCCCTGACAGATTTTTTGAAGTATAAATTTCCCCTTAAATGATTCACAGACTTTGTATTGTATACATGTGTACATAACCCAAGTATTGCAAAATCCATGTATATATATTCCAATTCTTTGAATTATCCGGTATTTAACTTCTGCTTAAAAAGTAGTGGTGCTGTTTGTTTTGGAGGTACATGTATATTGAAGTCCCCAAGGATATTATAGGTACCTACGCCCATAGTCATGAAATCGTTCTCATGCTCTAACCAAGATTCTGTGCTCTTTCGTGTCCTATTGATAAATCAACAAAAAGTCATATTTTGTCAATGTTATGTAAGAAATCTGATAAGGCTTTAAGCTGTTTACACTTGACTTTTTGTCTGTATTACATGATTTAGGGGAGTTACAAGAAAGTCACTTTGAGCAAAGTATTCAGGCTTGAGCAGGAAAACCTTTTCATGAATACGGGCCTTGCATGGTTATGATTTCAGAAATAAAGAGGAATGTGGAAAAAATAATTTTAGTGGATAGAATAAAGATTTAATATTGTACAATTGATACCTGCTAGATTGGAGGTAGGATCATGATCACTCGGTACTGAACAGCCGAGATTGTTTAGGAGACATTTGTATGTCGATACACTTTGATAATATTTTGCATTCATTGTCATCACTTAACGGTTGTACAATACATTTCAATTCATTTTTCTTGTTGACAGTTTTCATGGGGGATATTTAAATTTAGCATTTGGCTTGAATTGTTTGCCACGAAAAAACATCTACAGTACATGTATTTAAAAATTAAAAAAAATCTTTTAATGCATGCTAATGGATCAGACCTTTGCTATGGTTGTTGGGCGATAAACTCTCTGGGCTTTGGAGTCCTGGGTTCAGACCTAATGTGGTCTAGTTACTGTAGACTGAGGTGGATTCCAGCATAATTTCTGTGAAATCCTATGTTTTTATGAATTAAGTCGATTAAAGGATATAAGTTGCTTCAGGCATGTTGATCTTAAAAAGGCTGCAGACTAAAATAACAGATTGTAATCTGAATCAAATTTCTGAAATGTTTGTCGAGTATTGTTTGTATGAGTGGTTTTATGTCCCCTTCACTAAAGAGTGGTTCGGTTATCCAGGAGACGATGTTGAGTATGATCAGATGACCGGAGGTTCTTATAGATAGGTGTAACCAGGAGGTAGTCCTGTCCTGGTATGCCTGTACATGACCAGTAGGTCCTTATAGATAGGTGTAACTACAGGAGGTAGTCCTGACCTGGTATGCCTGTACATGACCAGAAGGCCCTTATAGATAGGTGTAACGACAGGAGGTAGTCCTGACCTGGTATACCTGTACATGACCAGTAGGCCCTTATAGATAGGTGTAACTACAGGAGGTAGTCCTGACCTGGAATGCCTGTACATGACCAGTAGGCCCTTATAGATAGTGTAACTACAGGAGGTAGTCCTGACCTGGTATACCTGTACATGACCAGTAGGTCCTTATCGATAGGTGTAACCAGGATGTAGTCCTGACCTGGTATGCCTGTACATGACCAGTAGGTCCTTATAGATAGGTGTAACTACAGGAGGTAGTCCTGACCTGGTATACCTGAACATGACCAGTAGGTCCTTATCGATAGGTGTAACCAGGATGCAGTCCTGACCTGGTATGCCTGTACATGACCAGTAGGACCTTATAGATAGGTGTAACTACAGGAGGTAGTCCTGACCTGGAATGCCTGTACATGACCAGTAGGCCCTTATAGATAGTGTAACTACAGGAGGTAGTCCTGACCTGGTATACCTGTACATGACCAGTAGGTCCTCATAGATAGGTGTAACCAGGAGGTAGTCCTGACCTGGTATGCCTGTATATGACCAGTAGGTCCTTATAGATAGGTGTAACATGACCAGAAGGCCCTTATAGATAGGTGTAACTACAGGAGGTAGTCCTGACCTGGTATGCCTGTACATGACCAGTAGGTCCTTATAGATATGTGTAGGTACAGGAGGTAGTCCTGACCTGGTATGCCTGTACATGACCAGTAGGCCCTTATAGATAGGTGTAACTACAGCAGGTAGTCTTGACCTGGTATACCTGTACATGACCAGTAGGTCCTTATAGATAGGTGTAACCAGGAGGTAGTCCTGACCTGGTATGCCTGTACATGATCAGTAGGCCCTTATAGATAGGTGTAAGTACAGGAGGCATTTCTGACCTGGTATGCCTGTACTGATGGACAGGTAGTAAAGTCCTCGTATTCATCATCGTAAACATTCTCACAGGACAGTGCACATGTTCATGTGGTCACGTCTGAGTGAACACGACTGTAAAATTACTCGTAAAACAATAAGCAGTTGCGATCGCCTCACCTGTACTCAGCTGAAAAATCGCTCAGGTTTGGGTAGACATTTGTCAGTTTCGCTTAAACAAGCATAAGTCAGATGAAAATTTCATTGTTTTGGTGTGATAGAGCAACATCTAATGAGTGGCTTGGACTTGAAGCTATAGTAACTACATATATTGGTCTCCTTTACAATTTTGTACTACATGTAGCAGCAGTTATAATAAAGAGACATATATACAGGTTTACATACATTTCTGCCACAACAGTATATCAACTCTAAGGCCATCCATTAAATGTCTGAAAAACAGCATAAGTGTTAATCAAACAGCTGATTAATGCCTTCCGTCACTTAAACGGGTTAAAATCTGGCACTCTTTGACGTCATGCTCCTCCATGTTGGGACATTGCAGACATTCACTGACGATGTCGTACAATACAGGTCGCTTAAATTTTACAAATGGTTTGCCAGTTCAACACTCCGGTTTGATAACAAACAATGCTGAATTATTTAACAGTATATAAAATAAATGTGTGTTATAGAGTTTTAGGCATGTATATGTGATTTTGCTACCTTATCACCCCAAACACTTGCTATTTCAGGCACGGTTTATTTATTAAGTGTGAAAATAGATTTCACATGGTACAGATACTGGTGATACCTGAAATGTCTAGCTGTGGATCCTGCCTTCATTTTACATGTTTTTTTTAATGTTTTTCTTGCAGCTGGGGAAGATGGGAACCAATGCTCATCAGTGCCCTGTAGAAATGGGGGTACCTGTGTGGACGGTTTTCAGGTTTATACTTGTCAGTGCCCTCACCTATTCAATGGCACCAACTGTGAGAACGACCTCAGTAAGTTGTCTCTCTTTATAGAACTACTAGATCAGACCCAGTAAGTTGTCTCCCTTTATAGAACTACTAGATCAGACCCAGTAAGTTGTGTCTCCTGAATAATACAAGCTTCAGTAAGTTGTCTCCCTTTATAGAACTAGTAGATCAGACCCAGTAAGTTGTCTCACCTGAATCATACCAGCTTCAGTAAGTTCTCTCCCTTTAATAATGATTGCAGCTTTAGTAGCTTGACCCTCTTTTTACAAAAGATTCTCTATAATTATCATTAGCCTCTGCAATATATATAGGGATACTTATTACAGGTGTTTTTTTGTCCTTTTACAGGAATATATGGTTGTGATGTTAGTCCATGTCTGAATGGAGGGACCTGCAATCATGTAACACCGTCTACAGCTACCGGTAACCGTAACTACATGTGTACCTGTGCTCCAGGTATGTATATACTCTGTGTGACTATTGACTACATTCTGTTCACAATCTAAGACCTATTTTGTACCCCCATCTTCCCCAACAAAAGATGTAGAGGAATATCCAATAAAACGATATATCACAAAACACATATAAATAGGGAATCCCTGGAGGTGATATAGGGTAAAATCATTACGTTTTCTGTTATTTTGATAGGATTCACAGATGTCAATTGTCAGGTGAACATTAATGAGTGTGACCTGGATACCTGTCAGCATGGTGGGCAATGTGAAGACGGAATCAACTCCTTCACCTGTACCTGTACCTCCAGTAAGTATACAGACAAGGCAACTCCTTCACCTGTACCTGTATCTCCAGTAAGTATACAGACGAGTCAACTCCTTCACCTGTACCTGTACCTCCAGTAAGTATACAGACAAGTCAACTCCTTCACCTGTACCTGTACCTCCAGTAAGTATACAGACAAGTCAACTCCTTCACCTGTACCTGTACCTCCAGTAAGTATACAGACAAGTCAACTCCTTCACCTGTACCTGTACCTCCAGTAAGTATACAGACAAGTCAACTCCTTCACCTGTACCTGTACCTCCAGTAAGTATACAGACAAGTCAACTCCTTCACCTGTACCTGTACCTCCAGTAAGTATACAGACAAGTCAACTCCTTCACCTGTACCTGTACCTCCAGTAAGTATACAGACAAGTCAACTCCTTCACCTGTACCTGTACCTCCAGTAAGTATACAGACAAGTCAACTCCTTCACCTGTACCTGTACCTCCAGTAAGTATACAGACAAGTCAACTCCTTCACCTGTACCTGTACCTCCAGTAAGTATACAGACAAGTCAACTCCTTCACCTGTACCTGTACCTCCAGTAAGTATACAGACAAGTCAACTCCTTCACCTGTACCTGTACCTCCAGTAAGTATACAGACAAGTCAACTCCTTCACCTGTACCTGTACCTCCAGTAAGTATACAGACAAGTCAACTCCTTCACCTGTACCTGTACCTCCAGTAAGTATACAGACAAGTCAACTCCTTCACCTGTACCTGTACCTCCAGTAAGTATACAGACAAGTCAACTCCTTCACCTGTACCTGTACCTCCAGTAAGTATACAGACAAGTCAACTCCTTCACCTGTACCTGTACCTCCAGTAAGTATACAGACAATTCAACTCCTTCACCTGTACCTGTACCTCCAGTAAGTATACAGACGGAATCAACTCCTTCACCTGTACCTGAATATGTACCTCCAGTAAGTATACAGAGGAGTCAACTCCTTCACCTGTATATGAACCTGAAGTATTTAGACAGAGGGAACTCCTTCCTCTGTATCTTATGTTTGTTGACAAGTTGACTCCTGTACCATATATGATATAAAAGGGACCATCTGTACCTTTGTGAGAACTGAAAAATGCTGAACAACACAGAACTAATCTTCTTCGTTAGAGAAACTACAAATACCTCAATTTCTAGAGAGTAAGGTGTGCAGCATACTAGATTAATTTAAAGAATCTCACGGAATTGACCTTTGCTTAAAATATGGGGTAAATACTTAAGATAACACCTATACGGGGATATATAAAGCATGTTCTTTATACAGGGGAAGGTACTATCTGTTGAATATCTCACCAAAAGATTAACATTGTTATATGATAACTTACCTTAGATGTTTTGAAAAATGCAGGCTAATTTATGAAAAAGGCACCTGCAAATGAGAAATTTGGATGGTATATTATGGCTATACTGTCGCAGATTATTTTGATTAACCAATCAAATGCCATGTTACATCTCAAATGAATTAGAATTTGATTTAATTATGCTACTGTATATGCTTAAGCTTGTAAGGAAAACACTACACAATCTTGATGTAGAACAGTAAAATGGCTAGCGCATGCATTTCCTTAATTTGTTGGTGAATGTCCATGATCTGGTTCTCTGGACTGCTGAAGTTAAGGTTAAGGATGTTAAATTATACTTTGTAGGGTTTGAAGGTGATCGATGTGAGACGGACATTAATGAGTGTCAAAGGTATGCTGGTATCTGTGGTCCTGGAACATGCTTTAACAATGAAGGAGGCTACGACTGTTACTGTCCAGTAGGCTACGATAGCCAACGCAACTGTTCACAGGTACGACTCGAAAATCACACTCTAACCATGTTATATCTTACTCAAACCATGTTATATCTTACTCAAACCATGTTATATCTTACTCCAACCATGTTATGTAGTACTCAAACCATGTTATATAGTACTCGAACCATATTATATAGTTCTCTAACAATGTTATATAGTACTCTAACCATGTTATATAATACTCTAACCATGTTATATAGTACTTTAACCATGTTATATAGTACTCTAACCATGTTATATAATACTCTAACCATGTTATATAGTACTCTAACCATGTTATATAATACTCTAACCATGTTATATAGTACTCTAACCATGTTATATATACTCTAACCATGTTATATAGTACTCTCACCATGCTATATAGTACTCAAACCATGTTATATGGTACTCAAACCATGTTATTAGCTCACCTGGTCCAAAGGACCAAGGTGAGCTTATGCCATACCGTGGCGTCAGTTGTCCGTCCGTCGTCCGTCGTCCGTCGTCCGTCCGTCAACAATTTCTTCAAACGACTTCTGCTTCTTAACCACTGATTGGAATTTAACTAAATTTGACTGGAAGCATCCTTAGGTGGTGGGGAATCAAAATTGTACAATGGGTGGGGATGACCCCCCAGGGGGCTGAGGGGCGGGCAAAAAGGGGGCAGTTTGGCTATATTGCTTTAAGAGACTTCTTCTCTGGAACTAAGAAATGGATATCAACCATATTTGACTGGAAGCATCCCTAGGTGGTGGAGATTCAAAATTGTACAAATGTTTGGGCTGACCCCCCAGGGGGTTGAGGGGCGGGGCAAAAAAAGGGGGCAATTTGGCTAGATTGCTATAAACGACTTCTTCTGTAGAACTATGCACTGGATATCAATCATATTTAATCAAAAGCATTCAT